TGATTCCGTCAAAGTACATTCTGGAGATGGAGATGGTTTAAAACCTGGTCTCATGAGGAAAGCATCGATACCCTGCAGGCCCTGCCTTGACTTACTGGCTTAGCACAGGCTCGAACGGGGCAACACCCGACCCTAATGAGGTGTCTGTTGAGGTGCATCTCCTACCATCATGCCGGGTGGCCAGAAGGCAGCAGATGGACTGCTTCCTTTCAGGGCTGCACTTCAAGGAGCTTAGGCTCCCCGGGCCCGAGGGCCGCTGATTCACAAGGCCGAAGAACCCGCTCACTGTGTGTGGTGTTCAGGTTTCAAAGCATCGGCCTGCCCTTGGGCACCGCTCAGGAGACACAGGCATGCACGCACATAGTAGGCACCAGCTTCAAAGCTGCGCTGGGGAGCAATTTGTTATACCTGGTGCAGAAGTGAATTAGGAAGAGGTTAGCTTATATTAGCAAGAGGTGCTGAGGGTGAAGCACCTGGCTGTGTCTTTTCATGCTGGTTCTTCAGTGGTGGTGCAGACCGAGGAAGACGGACACCTGCTTTTTCAGAGGAGTCTCTTTTGAAGCAGAGCTGATGTATAATTGAGATAAGTAGGTCACTGCGTGCTTACTTTAATAGCTGTTTAATTATGGCCCAGCATTGCTGGCATATGCAGTAAGGCTGTGGACTCAGATTTTTGATTAAGATATGATCATAACTCCATCTGTAGAGTCTCGCAACAAATTGTTCCTAGGTTAAAGTAATTAAACGCAAGGCTTGGTTCTTTATCTCTTTTCCAAGTGCAAATCTTAGTTGTGTGGTTGATTGGATGAGGAAATGTCAAACCAGAAGTCTGTAGATCCAGGGAAGGAAAGAAAAATAACATCCTGATTTGCAGATTCATGATAGAACGATCAGGAAACATAATCAAAGATAGGGAGGAGGATATGCACCGGTGCCTTCACTGAAACCATGGAACAGAGCAGCCTTAAAAACTCTTCAACTGACCTATAAATTCAATATCAACAGGATACATTCACAATTCATATAAGACAAGGCAGGCATCTGGCAGAAAGAAACTTGTGACTATTTGGGGAAGCCTCTGTTACTAACCTTGAGATGTAGCCTAGAAGAGGAAAGGTTCACAATACGCAGGGGAAGGGGAAGAAAGGGGAAGAAAGGGAAAAAATTCAATCTAGCGTGTTTTTTTTTCTTTTTATTTTTTTTCAATGCAACCCTAGAAGGAACATATAAGACCCTAAAGACTTCAGGTCAAAATAATGTTTATATCTCCAAAGTTGGCTAGTTGTGCTTATTGCCTGTATTTCCTAGATGTATATGAATTTACCAGTTGCCTACGTTCTTGGTCATGGTTCATTCCTCCATTCCTCAGTGGTGCTGTCAGCAAAGATCATCAGCCTAACTAAAGAAGGCAGTGAAAAGTTAAGCATGCCTGACAAAGTTTAATGATGCTACCCTCCAGCAACAGAGCAGTTTTCTCAGCTACCTGTATTCAGTCTGGCACTCTTACATCCTTGTCCTGCTGGCAAGATGTTGAGATGAAAGGTGTGCAGTGACACCCTGCCCCTGTAGAGCTGCCGGGAGTGTGCTGTGGGTGTAGAAATATAGCTGTGTGCCTGCTCCTGTGCTGCAGTCACTGGAAAGTAGCTTGCCTGTCATTCAGGATGGCTCCTTCCTCCTCCGCTGTGATGTGAGGTGGCAGGGACTTGGTATGGGTAGGTAGTGTAGCTCCCACACACGGTGAACATCACAGCAGGCTTTTCCTGCTTTGCAAGGCCAGGCTTTGAGCACAAATGGTAGTGCTATGTGCCTGAGCACCACCAGAGCAGAAGGAGTGTTTGACTGAGTTTATATTTCTCTGGGAGTCATTTTAACTGAGCTGTCAGTCAGGGTAGATCATTATTCTCCCACCTGAGCCTCAGCACTGCAATCAAGAGGATATGGAAATCCCTGTTTGAAATTCTGACAGCTTCTTTACGTTTGCTCCCAGAGATGTGCACTCCTGAAAATAAGCTCACACTTCTGCTCCCTTTTCCCAACATCCTGCAAAACCTTATGGCATAATCTTTCTTCACCAAAGAAGTGTCATCTACGCAGATTTATCAGAGGTCTTTTTTTTTCTTTTCTTTCTTTTTTTCCTTAAAATTAAATTAATCAGATCTTTTCTGCATTGCATTTTAAAAACCTGGAGTTACATAATCAGCCAGTGTTTTATATTGGCCAAACCGTTATAGCCTTGTGTGTGTCTGCCCCTTCATTGCAGAAGAGCCGCAGCAGAGCACAGGCATATCCAGGCCCACCTATCTCAAATCACTGGCCCGGGTGTGGATGCATGGGGACTCTGCACAGGAGAGGAGCGGTAGCAGTAGTTTACCTTCCCAGACAACTTTTAAGTTTCTATGATTAATTTCTGTTCTGTGATGGAAAAGGGAAAAAGAACCCTTCAAATATTTTCTGTAGATGGTGCATTAAATGTATTAAAATATCTGTTTTCAGATGACAACAGGAGATTTTTTGTTTGGGAAGTGTGTGGATAGCAGGCTTGGTGGTTACAGCCCTGGTATTGGCGAGACCTATGCTTATGGCTTCTATCTGTGTTCAGCCTCACAAGGCTTGGAGATCTTTTAATTATGGATTGCTCAGAACTGGGCAAAGCAGGGGACGAGGCTGGATTTCTTGTAACCTGTAGGTTTTGGAGAATTGTGAGAATTTATTGAAAATTCTCTCAAATAAACCATTTCTCAAAATTAAAACGTCTCTGTGAAATGTTGAGGTTTTGATTAACCCCAGTCAAAAACATTGTGCTGTTGCTTTTTCAGCACTTCCACCTTTGTCCTTGAGTTCGTCCAAAATCCTTCTTGCTTTGAGAATCTTGGTCTTGAGCACATCACCTCTTATTACTTGGTAGGAAGAGAATGCTAATGTAAGGTGGTGTTACTTGGTCCTGTTCTGTCTGCTCAGCAATTATCCGGATCCTACAAATTTGTCCTTGTTCAGTTCAGTCACAGAAACATTTAACTGATATTCTGTGTTATTGCTTATAGTCCATGCCTAGTCTTGCAAATAAGAACTAGTGTAGAAAATTTGAAATTAAGGTGTACAGAGGAACATCTGCATCTTTATGTGAATTTGCATATAGAGCTAGTCCTTCAAAAACTTACCTTATCTTACACTTTCCTACTGCAGAATTTTCTGTCTGACCTATTGCTGGTATTCAAAAGTAATTATTATTGAATCTCAACAAATCAGGTGTGCTAAATTGAAGACAGAAATAACAAACAATTAAGTAGTTCTGGAAGTGCACTGAACAGTGTAGAAGTTTCCACAATGCTACTGAATTTAGGTTTCACTTGACTGGGCCAGTAAATGTAGCCACAGCTAATTCATTTAGGCATTGTGTGAAATACTTTTCAAATACTGACACAGTTGCTGTCTAGGTACACCTAAGTAGGCAGTTTGTATATGAGTAACAGCTGTTGTCATAGTCCAGTATCTTGTGGAAGACATTTGGCCTTTAGGTATATTCCTCCCCTTGGACCTACCCAGCCATTTGATTTCCAGAAATGTTCTTCCTTTGAAGTCTCTGAAGTATATCTGAAGAGGTGACAATATAATTGCGAAATGGCGAAATGCCTTTTCATTTGTGAGGAGAACAGCATTTGAATGGGAACCAAATGGTTCCACCCACTTTCCTGCATCTCTGATAAGGTATCTTGCACACCAATCATTAGGGAACTTCCCACTAACCTTAAAAATAAATAAATAAATAAAAAATCCAAAACCAAACAGTTTTAGGAAGTGCAGTTCTCCAGATTGGATTGTTGCTGCACATGAGTCACCACAAAACTGAGTTTTAGTGTTGTGGATCTTTTCCTGCTTTGTTAAAATGCAATCGTGTAAGATCTGTTGTTTTGTTTTGCTGGTAATTGAAAAAGTGAAAAGGGTAGGGTATGGTACAAAACTGTTGTAGCATAAGATAAATCAGCTACTTAAGCATTGAACCTTCAGTTTGTTGGTGTAGGAGAGGGAGGGGCAGAAGCTGCATGGAAGATCAAAGCCATCAGGAGTGGTGATTAAAGCAATCTTATTTATTATTTTAGTTTTATATTTCAAAGCTTTTTCGTTACCCTTTTCTGCTTTATGAGTTGGCACAATGGATGAAATCCTGTCCCTATTGAAGTTAATGGGAAGTTTGCCATCAATCTTAATGGGACCAAGATTTTACACATAGTGTTTTAAGATGTCTTGACTGTTTGCACAGCATGTGTAATCATTTCAGGATTCCTTGTTTTCTAGGTAATAGTGAAAGTGTTAGGCATCTTTTTAAGTTACCTTAAGAAAATAATATAAATATTTTACAGTATGAAGTTTCACCTAGTTATAGCAAATTTTGTATTGATTTTCTCAAAACTTCCTTTCTTTAATCTACAGGACAGTGAGCTTTTACTGGCAGACTATCTTTCATTTAAGACAAAAATTCACAATACATTTTTGGTGAAAGTAGTTCATTCCTTAACTGCCTAAAAAAACAAATGCAACTGTTTTATTTTACCTAGGTATTTATTTCTACTCCTGTTTTTTGATTTTTTTTAGTTATTTAAATTTATTTATTTTTTGTTTGTTTGTTTTAGCTATTGAAATTTAGAAAACTATTTTTAAGAACAACCTGTTACAAAAGCTAGTTTCTGTACTGTATTTCTTTGCTACTTAGCTGAAGTAGCTCTTTGCCAGCTATATGACCTCAGTGTACTTGAAGGTTAAATTGAGGAATGGACCAATAAAACCAAACCAAACCAAACCAAGAAACAGTTGTAGAATCACAACAATGTTCTCTAGGTTTCTGTCTTGAAATAACCCTGCTAATTTCTCTAGTGGGTAAGGAAAAAAATTGCAAGAAATTTTCACCTTCACACGTGTCATGTAATGTACTTGTGTGCACCTCTGTGTATTCACACTCCTGTAGCATAATTCAACTGTTTTTTTTCTTTTTTTTTTTTTTTTTTCCAGGAAATAATAGCATAAAAATACCTCATATTGATTCTTAAACTAGAACACTAATGTCAAATCTGTTTTTTGTATATTTTGTAAATATTTTCTATATTTATTATATTTGACTTATTTTATAATTTCCAATAAAGGGCTGTAAATGAATAGCAGAATATTGAGCAATAATAAAAGTAGGCTGATACTTTCCTTCATTTTCTGACTATTTTTAACTGGCAAAATTTGCTTAGATAAAATGCAGTATTCTGCTGTGCATTCAGCTGAACCCTCCTGAGCTATGTTCTAGCATTTCCTAATAAAAATCCCTGCTAAAAAGTTATTGAGCTCATCTGGCTTCCAGAACATAGTTTTCTGTTGCATGCTGGCAAATCTGACTGAAACATGACTATTTTGTTGCCTCTGATGGTACCTTGCTGTACCCTGAATTACGTGCTTTTCAGGGCAGGAACTGAATTTTTATCTGTGTACCTGTCACAGCAAGGGCTTGGGGGGCACCAGCAAGTGCCACAGCAGGAGGAGCACATCCGAACGGGGCAGGTAGACAAAGGAGAAGATGAGAAAGATCTGGCATGAGGATTACTGTGATTTTTTTTTTTTTTTTTCCACGTGCCTTTCTTTTCCCCAGCCATTACTTGAGCATTTACCACACATTAATCTTCAGCTTTCTTGTTTTCACAGCCGCTGCGGGTCCCCCCCATCCATCCGTAGCCACTGTAGGTGAACCATGACAGTAGTAAATGGTTAATACCTAACAAAAAATATTTTCAGGTGGCAAATAACCAAGTATTTCATAGCTTATAGTCTTGTTCATCCTTCTTTCCTCTCAAGACCAAGAAACCATGTTGAGAGAAGGATGTGTTTTTGGTGTTTGCTCATTCCCTGTGTCAGCAGCATCTGGGTTCTTTCAGGAGCTCAGCAGATTGCTGCACTAGAAGTTTAGGAAATGATTGTAAGATGTCTGTGTTGTTTTATTTCCTGTGTGTCATTTCCTGTGATATTTCTACAGAATAGCCATTTCTGTTGCACATACATAAATCACCTACACTATAATGCTGCCATTGAAAATGGAGTAGTACATTACACACATGCACATACAATTAGACTGTAGTACTGTCTACTCATGTTATTAAATATAGTTAACATAGTGAAAAATTTCTGTAAAACCAAAAGTGAATTCCTGTAGGAGTAATGAGGAAAAAATTACAGATATTTGCATTTTAGATTTTGATAAGTTTAAATGTATTTCTGTCTTCTGAAATACTTTTGGAACAAGTTGACTTTTTAACTTATGTGCATATCCTCTAGCTTTCACAGGCTGTAATTTCTTTACTGTTGTCTTTGTTCTCCTCAGAATATTTTTCATTTCTTCTTAAAATAGTGTGAATTTAGATCAAAGTATTAGCAAATAGCATAGGATTGGCCGTATACCCAGAATCTCAAAATCAGTATTTATCCAGACTATATATAGCGAATTGATTAAAGTGGTTTCAGGTTTTGTGCAAGTCAAGAAGCTATTTATGTGCATTGGAATAAAAGCTGTAGTGTTGAACAAAGTTTTGATTATTCACAGAAGTTGGAAGTGAAAAGATATGTGATTTCCAAGGCTTTTGTAGAATCAGTAGATGAAGATTTATTGTAAAATCAAGGAGATGAGGAGTGGGTTCTGTGGACTTCATGGGGAAAACCACAGAGAATGAAGTTGGCGTGAGATTTTTTTTTCTCTCTCTTTTAATTATTAATATATGTATATATATATTTCTGGGCTAGAAGTGATAACTGTGATCATCTAGCTTGATTTCCTGAGTAACACAGATCACACGACTGAAGCTTTTTTCTTTCTAAGGAAACTTTGGTTCACATATTTTTTGTTTGAAAAGAAAAGGAAAAGAAAAAAGAAAAGAAAAGAGAGGCCACATTTTGTGATAGATTGCTTAATGATCACAGTATTTCTGTAATTCCTCCCCAAATCGTGTTTTGCCTCTGCTGAAGGTCAATGCAGCATTTTCCTAAATGTCCCTATGAACCTGACCCCCCATGGCCCTTTCTGGGTTCTTTCAAGACGTGATGAAATAAACCATGTATGTTGCTGTACCAGCTGCTGCTTTTCTGCATATTTGTGGCCAGACAATCCACAAGGTGAAATGTAACTGCTGAATTAAGTGTGCAGCCTTAAAGAAGAGTTGCAGCAATATTGTTTGGGGTACCTGAGTCCCGTCCTTACCCTGGCCATTCTTTTGTCCAGAGGGACTTGGTTTTCCATATGTCTGTCTCTCTTCTCCCTGGCTTTCCTATCTTCCCCGCTGCTCTGGATTGGATAGCACTTCAGCACAGCACTTCTGGATTTGTAAATGAAAAGCCCTGTTCATTATGGTAATATGCCCTGTGTAATTGTTCGAACATGCTTTGCCAGGCAGGAGCAGGTGGCATTCATCAGTAAACAGCCTGATTTTTGAACTAGTTATGATAGCGTAAAATTGTAATAGTTTCCCTAGACAAAGTCTTGGCATCACTGAACACAGGGGGGATTTTAGCATCAATGAGATACAGGCCAGCATTCATCTATTGTTGGTTTTTCCTTTTTCCCCCTGCCCCTGGCAAGTTTGAGGCAAACTTGCCCTATTGGGACAGAGATCATAGCCTGTTTGTATTACTGACTGTTGCCTCCTGTAATAAAGTTATGTTTATTAAAAGTCCCTTTCAGAACCTTGTCTTTGGATAGTCAAATATTGTAATATTTTAAACCCCAGGTTTTATTACTGAAAGGGTTTGGAAACAGTAGTCACAAAGTCATCACCTTTGTCTAGACTCTGGAAAGAAAAGAGCAAGTGTCACACTACCTACTAATGGTAGGTTATTTTTTTTAGCTAAACTGTAGCAAAGTAGTCTGTATTTTTATTTCATACAGAAAACTGTGTCACGAAGATCAGTTTTCATTAGACAAAGTAAGTGCAGAACTGTACTGTCAGCTAGTGGATGTTTTTTTCCAAACACTTCTGCAAGAAGTGTATGGAAAGTTTGTGCTATGACTTTTCCCTAAACACAGTCTAAATGTGAAAGACCTATTTTAAAGCAAATAGGGTATTAAAAAGTTTCAAAGCCGTTAGTCCTAAGCCGTGCATTATTTACTTTGAAATGATTGCTTTTGCCTGTTTCCTGTAAAAATGGATCCAAATTGCTGACACTTGCAACAACCGTTTTTTGTTTCATTTTGGCATAGTGAGTTACTGGAGACTTTTAGGACCATTGTAAGGTACAATACATCATTTCCTTTCCACGTTGCCTTTTTTGCTAATTGGTCTGTATGTGTAACCTTCCTAAAGTAACTCAGTCTTAGAAGTCCTTATACTTAGAAAGGTTTCCCTGACATCTATACAAAGGTTTCCTTACTGAAAAAATCAAGCTATTTCTTATCTGTTCTTGATGAGGATGGCCAACAGCTGATCCTAAATCTGTTTCAAAGTAGCCTTTTACATATTGAAAGTATATTCTGGCTTCTATTTCTCATTCTCTTTTCTAAGTTATGAATACCCAATTCGTTCAACTTTTCTCCTAGTTCATGTTTTCTAGACAGATTTTTCTGAATTATTATTCAGATCCTCCGATAACTCCAAGAATGTGTTGTTTCTTTTTTGTTTATTTGTTTGTTTAGAAAATTGCAACCTCCTATTGTTTTGTGTAGTTGTAGCATCATTCCCACTTCCTTTGTGCACACCTGAAAAAAGATGTACTAAAAGAAAAAACAACAAAAATAATTGTTTGCATGAGAACAAATGTGCATTCATTTCCATTTATTTAAGAGCATTATTTGTTTTCAAAACTGCTCTCACAACTTACCACTTTTTTCTACCTATTGTCATCATGGTGTTTTTTTTCTGTGACTTATTTGTAGGGTGTGTTTTCAGACAAATGGAAAAAGATGGACTTAGTTTTGGTTCTCAGTAACCACAATGCAAAAGATATAAGATGGAGTAGTTATTTTGCTGATAAAGATCAGGAACTTGTCACATGATTGGAGGAGTCTATTGCCTAAATTCAGCAACAGAAAGTGCAAAAGCACACAATGGAGATATAGTTAGCTAAAGAAAAGGAGGATGGTGAAGGGGTATAATTGCAAATTATGATGCCTTCACCTGTTTAATTGGATGTGGGCACTAACATTTCTGCACCTAACCCCTACAGATCAAAATTCCCTCCTTGCACCTTTGAAAATGAGAGTTCAGCCTGTTGCTCTGTGGAGTTTCCACTTGAGAAAAAGCGTTTGGATGCTTTTATTAAGATACTGGGGCAATTTGAAAAATGCCACTCTGTATTGGGTGCGGCAGGGAGCTGGGCTGGTGAAGGGTGTGGCTCCTGTGTCTCCCGAGCTCTGCCTGGGGCATGAGATAGCTGCAAGCAGCCCTTGGATCAGCTGGTGGGAAAGGAGGTCCCTCCTGGGGGTCCCCAGAAGGGTCAGGGGCTGCAGGGCTGGGCATGAAGCGCATCGCTCCACTTGTCCCTGTGCTGCAGTTGCCTGAGGATGTGCATCACCCCTGGAGCCTGGCTCTCCTCTGGTGGTGCTGGAACAAGTCCGCTCCCGTCCTCTCTATTTTCAGAGCAAAGAAATCCCAAACCAAACCAGCTTGGGTGTCACAGTGCGTTTTGCCTTGGAGGCTTTCCATAGAGAGGGAGGCAGTTAGCTACAAATAATTGCTGCAGGGGGAAACTGGTCTTGATTTAATATCTGCTCTCAGAGATTCAGTAACTCTCTCTTTGTAATAGATGGTTCATATTGAATGCTTCACTTTGTTTTCTTTAACTAATTGTTACAGTGAAAGAAAAAAAAAATTGTTGTGACAGAAGCTGCTGCTACTGCTAGTCAGGGTGGGCAGAGGAACTTGAAGTCCAAGGATGCGAGTGGGAGAAAGCCCACACAAAACCCACAGGATGACAGCATGGCCCATCTGGTTGTCTCGCAGGATTCAGCTCAGATGTCCTCAGCTCTCCTGCTCAGAGAGGTTTGTAGCACATAGTCACAGCAGAAAGTGTTACCCGTACCCCAAAGGCCAGCTTGCAAAAACCAAGCGATGTGGTGAGGTGAGCACCCAGGGTGGCTGTGATGGATGTTTTTGGAGCTGGTGAGAAAGTAAGGGAGGGTGGGAAAGGAAGGTGATGGATAAGAATGACTAAAAAGGAAACCAAGAAGCATATGAAAGAAAATCAATACACCGTGTAGTTTGTGTTTTACACTTACCTGAGCTAAAGGGCAACTATGAGAGTAGTTTCTGGGTAAGAGCCAAAGCTTGCATGCAATTTGGACAGCTCGACGGCACCCCCTCGTTGCTCAGGTTGTAATGCACCTAAATGGCAAGGTGAGGCGGCACCAGTGAGGGTTATTCTTTTTTGAATTTTCAATTAGACTTTTCCTTGAAGAGAGGTGGCTTTTGTGCAATAACGTCTGCACGTGCAGATGTTTCTTATCTTCTTGGAAGAGGAAGTAGGAGAGTTATTTCAAGGCGGACAGGATACCCTTATCTGGTGCTCTCCTTTTTCCAATTACTGCAAAATGTGCAACTTGTCACTAGAGAGGAAAGGCTTATTTCCAGGAAAAGTAGCAGTTGAAAATGTCAATGAATACGTTCCTGAAAAAAAAAAAAAAAAAAAAAAAAAAACAACCAAAAAAAAACCAAACCACTTCGTGGAGTAGCTTGTATCTTGTACTTCCATAGCGAGAAAGGAGGAATGAGTGTGTCCTGGCTGCAAGATTACTCAGAAAGGATAGGCTAATTCAGGCACCCAGCTATCTCTGGCTCTTGCTCAGACAGGGTGAATTAGCCTCTGAAAGGCCTGTGTCATTCTGTAACCACAGCAGGAACGTGCATCACTGCTTAATTTGTAAATTTAGCCCAGGTCAGAGGAAATGAACCCCCTTCACTCCCTGGAGAGAGGGATGATGGGGACGATGCGCAGGGCTGATGCCATGTCTGCACTGCTCCTCAGCCAGGCGTGGGCTGCCTGAGTGCGCCATGGGCTGTCTCCATAGGAGCAGATCCGGACCTTCGCGTGCCGTTCTGTTGCTGCACAGATGGAGTCAAAACGGCATTTCAGACTGGAGTTGTTTGTGGCTTGCCATGGTTCAGGAAACCCCGCAAAATTAATATTGTTGAGTTCTTGGACGGTGCCATTTCCGTCACTTCGGGAGCCATTGTTCTGGTGTGTGAAGTGCTGGAAAGCATTTGTCTGACACAGAGATGGCACACAAACATTTTGTACCAGGACTGTTGCTATTTTTCCTTTTTTTTTCTTTCTTCTTTTCTTTTTTTTTTTTTTTTTCTTATGACATTTTTGTTTTGCAATCTCTCCTTCTGTGCTTCTTATGGGGATTAACCAGTAGAGTTTAATCAAACCCCATGGTTAATGCTGATTTGTTTTTCCTTCTTCATATAAGAAAAGTTTACAAATTGCCAAGGTGCTGCAGTGAGTTGTTTTTATAGACTACAGCAACTTGTTGACATGTTAACAGCAAACTTAAGCCTGCACAAAGCAGTGGGAACTGATGACTAGAAACTGATCCTGAAGGTTCATATGTTGCTGCTGGATTCACAAGAGCAAACCTCTCCCTTTTTCAGACACAGAAAACTCCTCAGGTACTAAGCACTGCCTTTCTGGAAGTTTTTCTCAGCAGTGATACAATTATCAACATTCACGAAGATAACAAAAGCGTTTCGACAACATTCCTGTAAAGCTGTGAATCACACCTCTGTTGAGATGTCTCTTGATACACTGCATGAACAGCAATGCTTAGAGATATTGATATATATAATTCATCTTTGATTTGCAGAATATTCTATCTCTATTAGGCTAATGATGCTGATATAGTTGAGGTTACATGCTATATTTACAAAGAAATAATCCTGTTTGTGGGGCTGGCCTCGTTAGACCTGCTTGTTAATCAAACAGTTTTAACAGCTCCTCCCAGATAGATTAAATAACACTCCTTTCAATTTGCGGTCAGAGGAGTGAAATGTAATCAAAGCTGTAAACCAATGGTATTGAATTGTGTATTTGAAGCTGGGAGCAGCTTCCTGCATAGGCAGTCTTTTGAGAAAGTCTTTGTTTTACGTGTGTTTTCCATTTTTTGTAACTATAGTTTCTCAAATCCTCATTTGTTATGGTGAAATTCATGTAAAACCAGAATTTAGGTACTTGTTGTAGGACACTAGAAGACCTAATATTTTCCCATTTGCTTGTATAGCAATAGCTGTGTTGGAAGGCAGTCTTTCTGTTATCTGTTGGGACTGCGTGCTTGAGCGGATGTGCTGGAACTGAATGTTTCTTGTGAATTATTTTGAAACGTTGACAAGGACATCGTGAGTCTGAATAGACACTGTGGTTTTCTTCAGTGAAATAATTATCAAAGTAGTGGCTTTAGCTGTCTGTGGCATATACTTGCCTCTATCCCCTTCCCTCAGAAGACCCGAAATGTGGATTAATTTATGTGATTCTCAGAAAAGGTGAAACCAAACATGTCACACGAGGAGGGCGATTGTGTGGCTCCATTGGCCTGGGGGTGCAGGGATCAAGCAGACTGGCACCTTGCTGGCCACAAGGTCTGGAGGCACAGCTGCTCTCTGCTTTTGTGGGTCCCTACTGGCTCCCTGAGACACACCGTGTCAAAGTGGAGAGGAGTAAAGAGTCTCAGTGCTGCTTTGTTTAGCTTCTCAGCTAGGGTTTTCTTCCCATGGGATTGCTTGTGGGTTTCTGTGTGGGGTTGCACCACTGAACCTTTTCACAGGTCCCATCATATTCTCTCTTTTCTCTTCCTTTATTCTGTCTCCTGTGGCTGATTCTCAGTCTTCCTTTTCTTCTCAACTACATTGGCAAAGGTTTTCATTTTAGTGAGTCTTGTTTGCAGGCAAGGAGCACTATTCCCCTGCCTGCCTATGTACTCAAAAGTCAGCTTCAGGCAATATGCTCTTTTACCCGTGCTTACAGTGCAAAACGTGGAAGTGTTTTGAAGTATGTGTTCTTTGTACCTTTGAATGAGTAAACAACAACACTTTTACTTTCTGAGATAAAAATGTGAAAAAGATTGTCACTTTGTTTCTCAAGAGGTTTCAAACAACTGAGGAGCCTGTGTGGAATGGGAGGTGAGAACAACTCTTAATGAGTTGTTAGGTAGATCAAAAAGATAGGTTTTCCAGGAATTGCACCTAGTTGACATATGAACTATGTGAGACCTACCTCAATACATGCAGTGTGTGAGCTGCTCTGCAGGAGGCCAGGTTGGGTGGGTTTGTGTCCCACGCTGGCAGGGGGAAATAGCAATATCCACCTACAGCACAGAACATGCTGTTTTCTTGCATAGGCTATTTGTACTTCACAGATATTTCTCCTGCTCGACACCATGCAAAACAATGGTGTTTTTTTCCATGCTTTCTTCTCTCTTGGGCAAATGTTTGTGTTTAAGCCTTGATTAGTTAAAGTACTAAGGAAAATTAACTGAAGTAGAGCCTGCCTGTTTCAATGGCAAAACAAAACATGAAGCGGTTTGAGTGGAACCAGTATTTATCTTGCCTCACGAATGAATGCTCAGCTAATACTCTGCACATTGTTATTGTTTTCTTTCCTCTTTAGTTCTTTTGGGTGCATCAAATGCCTTAATATGCAGCAGGCATCATCAAAAGATAGCCTGACTAGCAGCTGCTTTCAGCAACATTTCCATATTCTTAATGTCTTTTTAGTAGATTGGTTGAGTAATTTCAGCAGAAAGTTTCCAGCAGATTGAGGTTCGCCGTTAGACACACATTGTATGTATTTAAACATTATCTTTTCTCTGTTTCTCATCTACTCAACAGAAACGTGTTTCCCCTCTGGTCAACTTTGCAATCTGCCTTTTTAAAAAGGGATATCCAACACTGGTAATGTTACCTCTGTTATCATCGCTATTCATTTACTCTCAATAGCACTAATTGTTCTCTTATTTTGTGATCTGTAACGTTACCCTTCCTTCAGCCCAAACTGGCATAGAGCAGAGCACCTCAATCACTTACCTCTGCAGGACATCAGATGGAGAGAACCAAATCCCCTCCAGGCGTGAGGGTTTCTTCCCTTGCAAAGGCTGTGATGGGGCTTTAAAGACAAGAATGCAAAGACCCTGTAGCCTTGTGTCTGCGTGCTCTTCTTCAGGATCCCTGGGCTTTCATCAGCACTCCAGGACAGCCCTCAGACTCCTCAGGGATCAGAGGAGGACATCTTACTTCTGATAGGAAGATAGCAGTGTGCATTGTTTAAAATAATGAAAGGAGGATTTCAGTGGGGCCAGTCAATCTTGATACCCTCGTAGCTCTGGCTTTACATTTGGTCCTAGATCTCTGTTGCCTGCAAAATGCACGTTGGCCTTTTCTCTTCCTTTTGTTGCAGCTCAAAGGCTGCATTTTTGCCCTACCAATTTCTTTTGATCTGTGGAAAATTTGAGATCTTCAGCTTTATTGTTCACTTACAAATTCACCAGAACAGGGATTTTGCTGATACAATCATGAAAATCCTGAACCAAATGTTCAAAATGTGGATTTAAAACTTAAGCCCCTCCCATTTCCCCGCCCCACAAGCCCCAAAACTCGAGAAAAAAGACACAACAGGTAAATAAGCTTTCATTAAAGGTCTTGTAGGTAGTTCAATTATATGTGTGTATTTACCTGGTAAGCATCTGCAGAAATTTCTGGGCTCTGTCCCTGTTGCGGGCTAGGTAGCTGTGTAGTCATCAATTACAAACACCTCCATGGCTGAGCTTTGATTGCAACCCTGCTGAGACTCCCACCAGGCACGGACGTGGTAGCTGGAAGCCCTTGCATGCCTGCAGGATGAGGTACCCATGCCCTCTCCTGCTGCCGTCACAGAGCTTTGTTCCTGGGATGAACTCTGACCAACCCTCCTGGGGCCATTCAGGCCATACCCTTAAAAATGTGGGGGATGGAATGGGCTGTAAAATCTAGTTAATAAGTAGTCTGTTTTTACTGAAGGCACGACATGCAAGAATCTCCTTTGTTTCTCATCCCAGTCATACTAGAAATTGGCACCACCTTTCTTTCTTTCCTTCTTTCTCTCTCTCTCTCTCTCTCTCTCTCTCTCTCTTTCTTTCTTATTTTATTTTTTCTTGGTTCTCCTCTTTCAGTCTCAGATTATTCCTGCAAATGAAGAGGAAATAATTCTGACAATCATTTATTGAAGGTAGCTAATAAAACAATGGAAGGATGTAGGCTGAGGCATAAATGAGATATTGTGACAGATGTAGATGATTATTAACCAGCTGATGTTTCCGCAAAGTCTTCTAATCATAAACACAGTGTGGAGCGAATCTGGGTATATTAATAGCAAAAGTTTTATGGAAAATCTGAGTGTGTGCTTTTTCTTTAACTTTCCATTTCCTGTTTTAATTGATAGAGTGTGAAGCTTTTACACACAAAAAAAAGAAATTGGAAAAGATTATTTTGCATCTGCGACATTAAGTGCACGGCCAGAAACACGTTGTGGAAGGAATTCTTGAAAAGGGCTTCTATTATAATACTTTTTTAGAGATGTGACTAGTGACAAATGCTAAACTCAGTGATATAATAAAATGGCTGTGGAAGAGGAACATCTATTTGTGTCTATGCAACCTATGTTTTCGTGTGACTTTGTGAGAAAGGGGAAGATATTATCAGAGAGAGATCATTATGCTGTAAAACTTGTGGGATGCACTTCCAATTTTTCTCTGGCATTCTATCAAATGTCCTCTCATTTAGTTTTAGTCTCATATTGTCCTTTATTTTGTTTTGGGAAATATAATGCTAAGCTTGTACGGTAATCACTAGTTGGAGTTGAAATCCTTTAAATGTGCACCTTTCTTTCTGCAGTTCTGCTACAACTTTGGTGTATCTCCCTCATTCTCTGAATTTGGGGAGGGGAAGAAAGGTTAAACAGAAATTACCCAAACAGAGCCATGCAAACTCTATTTAACATCTTACACCACATCTCTGCAACTATTATTTTGAGTCCTGATACCGTTTGCGAAGCATAAACAATTTGTTTACCTTACAGCAGCTGGAATTTTTAACATGTAAAGCGATTGCTTGGAGTGGGAATAAAATAGAGCCGAAAATGTTGAGGAGGGGAAATATTGTTACACTGCTACAATGCGTGAAGAGACAATATAAATGGCAGTATCTGTGCTGCTTTAATTATAGTATACATTTTGTCTCTATCAACCAACCAATTTCAAATATTTTGTGACATGAAGGGCCACATCTGAAAATTTGAAATAATGGAAAATAGCATACATTTAATCATAAGGTATGGACAGGGACCAATTTATCCCCTGGTTATCCCCAGCAATCCAGAAACGTGGTATAAAATGTAGGCACATACGAAAACACCAGCTGAAGGTAACAACAGTGTAAATAACGCTATATGCAAGGTGAGAATGTATGTGGGGAGATCTTCATTACTCCTTGAACTTCTGGTTTTAAGAGCAAGACCCAGTAGGACAAAGAGCTCTTAAAGCATGCACTTGTGCTTTTCATGAAGGTGAGGCAGGGTTGGGTGGCTCTGAAGAGCCTGTTGGCTTCAGCCCCCCAGTATATGCTCCTTGGGATGGTTGAGGACGTCCATTTTTCTGCTACTGTGGGCAACTGTTCTGGGGAGCAGGGAGAGGAAGCTTCTCTTTGTTGTCCCCCCTCCAAGCTGTTGAGTGGATGATTAAGGAGGAGCAGTCATGCAGAGCGGAAGGGACCTGACAGTGCCAAACTTGAGGCAGATCTGCAAGGAGACTGAGAGGTATGCAACACAGCAGCGGTTTCTTTAATGGCAATTAATGCTTATGGCCTCTCTTAGTTTCAGATCTTGTTTTGTGATGACTAATTAAAAGAAACTTTATTATTCTTGATGTTACTTGTTCCTTTCTTTTCCTTTTTTTTTTTTTTTTTTTTCTTTCCAAAGCTGTTGCTCTGCTAAAGAGATCTGCTTAAATTAAGCAATCTGTGCCAAGTGAAATCACTCAATTATTGGTGCTTTTTGGTCTTTCTTTTGGATAAACAGAGCCTTCCTGACGGCGAGGCAGTTCCTCAGGAATTCCTTTATGGTGAATTAGACAGGGCAGTGATGAATAACTCAGGGCAAAGGACACCCTGAGCAGCGAACCAAATTGATTACATAAGCCTTCAGCTAACTTCTTTAGGGTAATTTTGGATGCCCCGGTATCCCCTAAGGCATAGGTGGGGCCCAAGCTCCCCCCAGGGGCCTGCTCTTGTTAATGTTTTCTGCCATGTTAGCTGCCATTTCTCATGCAGCATGCCTGCAGCAGCTTTAGAGGGCTAAAACTGGCTGTGCAGTGAATTACAGATCTGCAAGAAGGGCTAAGAGCTGGAGCTTTCTGCTCAGTGATGCCCATTGCCTGCTGGTGTGCGTGGTGGCAGTGGTGATACCACTTCGCTGGGGAGTTTCAGGTAGCCCCAGGTCGCCTGCTGTCTATTGCCATCCTGCTGGTGAACAGCGAACACATCATAGCAAGGATTGTTTTTACATGGACTTTATTCAGTAGCAGCCTAATATGCTCTCTGCCCTGTTGAGAGACTTGTAATTCTTGGCTTTTTTTTTTTTTTTTAACATTAAATGATTCTGGCTATTTAGGCTGTCACCCTAATAGCAAGCATCAAGCCTGCCTCAAGGGATGTGGAGCGTGATCATCCCATCCCCATTGTATCCTGCATGAAACTAACATGGTGTCTGATCATTGCCTTCGGAAGCTAAAGTGAATCAGAAGTTATTCATTGCACATATTTTTCTATAATCTACTGTACTTTCCTCTCCTCTGCATGATCTTCTCAAGATTCCTTTAAAATATCTCATCATTACCCATTTGCTTGGCTTGGAAGAAGCCCTGGCTTTAACATTGAAGGCTGTTCCCTGCTGCATGCACTGGGGATGTGATCAAAGACGTAGTGAGAAAATGAGATGAGGGACTGGGTTCAGAGCAGGATGGTCTGATCCGTCCGTGTTTGCGGTGCTGCGCGCTTTCCTGATGAGAAGCTATGGCAGCACTGTCCAGTGTTTTCAGGGATGAGCTGATGAAATGTGCTGGTTATCATGGAGTGAAGGGCAGCATTTTGCTTCTTCATAAATATGAATTAACACTGTATCATGAAATAAGTGTTAAAGTGAATTTAGGAGTATATCCCCAGTGTTACTTCCCAAAGAGCATGGACATGGAAAGCTCAGTCTTCCTTCCCTTGCTACTACAAGTGGCAGCGATATCACTGTGGAGGTTTGCAGACAGTTTTGCAGCAGCCCCTGGGTACTCGTGTCTTATCTTTTCTCTGAAAGAAGAGTTTTCAAAGGGCGCCAAGCCTTGGGAGTAACTTCAGGCCACAGGCTTTAATAAAACCTTCACCTTGGATGCCCATATAGTACAGAAATTCAATGCTTACTGAGGAATTATTTGGATCTTTTTATTTTTATTTATTTATTTATTTTTGTTTCTCCTTTTTGTTTTAAATGAAGTGTTCCAGGGGGGAATAGGAGAAGCAGCAGATGGAAGATAAGCAGGACAACAGTTCATATTTCTGTTCCTAGGCTCACTGGAGGCAAATTGGCATGCACAATTTAGATTTACTCTTCATTTCCAGCTTCTTGAAAGTAATTGCTACTTCCAGTGAAAAGTCTCAAGGTACCAGCAGATTCCTAATTCCTAAAAGGGTAACTTTTTATTGGAGGAAAGAGGAAGGGGAAGCATTTCAGGCAGCTATATTTTCATTGTCTTGAATATACAAAAGGGAAGCGGATTCTCTCTGATACTGGGTTCTCCCTGCTTCTGGATTTAAGTTCTCATATGCTGTGAAAATATTTTTTTATGGGGGGGAATATGCTTCTCTCCAGTAAATACCTTATCAAGCTGCTTTATCATTGGACTTGGACAAGGAGCTACTCTGCTATAGATTATACATATTTATCCTGGGATTGGTGGTGCTTCTTCATTCAAGTTGAACAGAAGTGGGAGATGATGTGGGGAGAGACAGATAAGGGAGAAAGGCTGGTTGGGACACAAAGTCCATAGTCTATCCAGGTGCATTTTTTTGTTGTCATAACCTTATGTAAAAAGTCATTCTGATATAGATTCACAGGTTGCTTGGTACAGAGGTCACACATGGAAGATTTTGTCACATGCTAAATTTTGTCTTCAGTTTCTTTGCTTCTTAGTGATATTTCTTGGAGAAGCTTATAGAAGGAGCATGGGAAGCTTGGCTGGGCTCCGGCCAAGGAATTGCAGCTGGTCTCCTAATTACAAAAAGACAAAATGATATACAGGCCTGTGGGGATCTGTCAGACACAGATTTATTGGGCAGGATGGAGTGGGACTTAAAGCTATCACCTCCTTTCCATCACCCCCTCCCTATACAGTGCACGTGCTCTGAGTTTTGTGGTACGTTTGCAGCCATGTGAAAGTCATCATCTGGAGTGCCATTATCATCTCTTTTCTCCCTGATTCCTGCCCAGTTTGCAGCTTCTCCAAGTCCCAGTTAATGGCTGCATAACACAGGAAATAACATGTAAAGTAACTTTACCCATTCCAAAATTAGGAGTTCTGTAGCTCAGGACTGTGAAGTGATGATAGTCTGATCACCTTGTCTGTCTCGTATAACTCCTCAGACATCACTAAGAAAAAAAAATACATCAAGGTTGCCACTGATGAAAACAAGAGAAGAAGCTGCATGTGCTGGCTGCTGGCCTCTAGCCATCCTAACGTGTGGTCATTGCAACACCAGCCAGCTGGAACAGTCTGAAAACAAAAAAGTTAAATTCAGAGAATAAAAGTTTGTCAAAAGTGAAATGTGTTGGCTTATACTGGTTTCTGCAGACCCTGGGCTCCCAAACAAGTTGTCAGGGCAAGGTCTGGGGAGGAGGAGGGAGAGGGACCAGGCAGTATTTGGAAGTCCCTGCTCTTTCCTGTTCAAGGACTCAGGTTCAAGTCTTTCATTTATGGTAGGGTCAGGAACTGGGGCTCTCGGATCCCAGAGGAATGCACCTGCTCCCTGACTACTGAGATTTTGACACATAGGCAAATACCCTGATCTCACTTTTTATGCAAACTGTCAAAGAATTTCACAGTGGAAAAGAGAGGTTTTTTGTTTTGTTTTGTTTTGTTTTTTCTTCCATGTAACTTAGTAAGATAAAAAAAAAAAAAAGTGGGGAGCAGAACTTACAAGGAAAACGGACAAAACCACGCAAATCAC